TGTCCATATTTATCAATCCATTAACTGACAAGGTGCCCTCAAGGTGCATCTTCCAGCAGCAAACTGATGTGACCTTGAGTTCTGTGTGCAGTTTTGGGCACCACAATATAAGAAAGATATTAAAGTATTAGAGAGAATGCAAAGGAGGCCACGAGGATGGGGAAGGGTCTGGAGGGGAAGTCACAAGAGGAGCAGCTGAGGGCACTTGGTCTGTTCAGCTGGAGAGATGAGGTCAGACCCCATTGGGGTCTTCACCATCCTCCTGAGGGGCAGTGGAGGGGCAGGTACTGATCTCTTCACTCTGTGACCAGTGACAGGACTCGAGGGAATGGCTGGAAGTTGTGTCAGGGGAAGTTTAGGTTGGATCTCGGAAAAGGTTCTTCCCCCACAGGGTGTTGGGCACTGCCCAGGCTTCCCAGGGCGGTGGGCACAGCACCAAGGCTGCCAGAGCTCCAGGAGGGTTTGGACAAGGCTCTCAGGCACTAAGTGTCATTCTTGGGGTGTCCTGTGCAGGGCCAGGAGTTGGACTCGATGACCCTGCTGGGTCCCTGCCAGCTCAGCATTCTCTGTGATTCTGTGTCAGTGGTTTCTAATCTGAGTCTCCCCAGGCCCAGGGACTCAATCAATGGTAATAGAGCTCCTTTAAAGGCTCTGCTCCACCCGGACCATGGCACTGACTCCTCCTGCCAGGGCTGTGAGCTGGGGGTTCTGTTTGTATGAACAAGTTTTACTGCACTCTGTATGATGATATAATGAGTAAATATGGACTTTATGAACCAGTCATCACTGAGGCTCCGCTGCCTGAAATTAAAAATCTCTGTTAGCTTCGTTCTGCTCTACTCTGTGCTTGCCCACTGATGAAGATTTCCTTCAGTAAAGGGACAAGAATCAGGGAAATAACTGTGTCTTGATAATTTCTTTTGCCAGCATTCTAAATAGTAAAATAAACCAAGAGGAGATAGAAAATTTAGTCTAATATTATTGAATTCCTGTTGAGTGTCCATTTTTCAGACAGCAGACAGGGCTGGTCCAACATATACCAAGTACTGCAGTACTAACTTGCTCTCACACCCAAGAAACCATTTGTCTTTGCTTCAGAAAATATATAATCAGCAAAAAGCTGTGAAGGTCTTGGTGGCCAAACGAGCTGCTGACTGATAGCACAATCATTTCAATAATTACGACATTGATTGCTCACATATTACACGTTGCGTAAAATAGACCTCAGCCTTGTCAGGCAAGTTATAATCTGGTATCTCTTGAAGCTAAAAGGGTTAGACCAGAACTAATTGGGGGCAAGAAAAGATGACAGTGATGTTCTCAGTGCTGTGCATTTTTCATAGTTAATAACATGTATAGATTACGTGGAGGACTTTTTGCAGGAGCAGGTCATGATGTGTTAAATCCGGGAAGAAAGGGTTTATGTTTCCTTATAAATAATGTATGTGAATGAACTGAAAGACGGGGAGGCAACTCTGTGATGTGTAATACAGCCAAATGAATCAGAATTCCCTGGAAAACAGCGTGCAGTTCTGAGGAAACATGGTATCTTGAGCATGGGCAAAGCCTGGCAGGGATGGATGGTGCTGTGACTTGAAGCTCACACAGTTCTCTGCTCTGGGTTTGCTCCAGCTGTGTTCAGTGTTTATGGTCACCATTTCTTACATCAGGCCTTCACTTCACAGCAGTGATCAAGCAGAGTTTGATTTTCACCAGCTAATTAAAGTGAAGGCCAGCACAGAGCAGCTGCCCTGGGAGGGCATCGGGGTCTGGTCATTTCTAACTGTACCAGAGCCCACCCAAGCTCGGTTCAGAGCAGGATCCTGTGATCCAGAGCTGCTTCCAGTGAGGATTCCCTGCGTTGCTTCGGAGTTCATAACCAGGGTGAGATCAAACCACAGGACAGGGTGTGATGCAGCTCCTGCTGCCGAGTTCTAACCTCATATTTGCTCCCGAGCATGGATGGAACATCCACCTTTGCTTTGTCCAAAGGTGTGTTTGCCCGGCCGGGCCAGGACTATCTCGTGTATAGGGTTTGCCTGGAGGTTCGGTTGCACAATCCCAAGTAATAAACCCGGGACAGCTGATTTGGCACCAACTAATCTGCGCCCAAACTGCACAATAACCCTTTCGTAAAGCCGGCGGCTTTGTGTAAACTCCGCGGGTCGCCGAGTTGCCCGGGCAGGTTAATTCCACTGGCTAAAGTCAGCAGATGGGATGGAGGGAGTGAATCCTCACCGGGGCCATTCCAGCGGCCGAGGCAGGAGGGGCAGAAAGCGCCGCTCGCTCTTGCCGGCCCTGCACGGCCTCGGCTCGGGATTCCTGCCGGAGGGAGCCACCGGGATGCAGCGGGATGCAGCCGGAGCCGGGCGGGGGGAAGGCGGGGATCGGCGGGGCCGCTCCCGGCGCTCGGGGAGGCGGAAGGGGAGGCGCCGCTTCCCGGGCCCGGCAGCGACAGGAGGGACACGGTAAATGGGAACGGGAATGGGAAATCGGGATGGGGATGGGAGCGGGTCCCCCCCCGGGCCGCGGTGGGTGCGGTGGGTGCTCGGGGGGAGCCCAATGACCGCGGGCACCGAGCGCGGCTGCGATGCCTGATTTTAATAAAAACCACTGAAACGGCCTTAAATCGCTGCCTGGGTTCAGCAGAGGGCGGCAGAGCCCCTCGCACCATCCCTCCCTGCTCTTCCTAACCCATGGCACGAAAGAAGGCGCCTGGAACAGAGAACCAGGGCTGCTCGGGCGGTCAGAAGTGAGAGCAAGTCCTTGTTAAAAGTCCTGTAAAATACTTCTTAAAGTATTGTTATATTAGAGCATCGTACACCGGCGCCTTGCAGAATTTCCCCTAGATTGGTTGTACACCACATGGAATCACTGGCTGGTCTGGGTTGGAAGGATCTTAAGGATGATCCAGTTCCACCCCGTGCCATGGGAGGGGACACCTTCCATAGATCAGCTTACTCAGAGCTCCATCCAACCTGACCTTGAGGCCAAGGGACAGGAATAAATTTCCAAATAATTTCTGTTGGTAGCTTTACAAAGCAGAAGGATTTGTTTTTTTCTAGACATCTAACATTAAGATATTTAAAAATCTTTAAATTGGACGATATCATGGTTATTGGAATTGTCAGTCTGCAATGAATATGAAAATTTCCCACCTTTTTCCTGCCAAGCGTGTCCACACTCCGTAATTCCCTGGCTGAAGCAGAGTGTGAGAGATGGATCCAAAATCCCTGTGGAGCATGTTCAGCACATGTTGCCTCATCTGTGTTCCAAAGTTCATCGGTTTGATCTGTTGGCACAATCTCAGAGCCAGCGAGTTGTGAGCTTGGAAGAAAATGAAAGCAATTCCCTGGAAGGAGCAGTTCCTCACCTGGTGCTGCTCCTGATGCTCCTGCTGTACAACTGGAAGGGGGAAAACTGCCAGCAAATAAAGCCTGGAAGTGGTGGAGAACCCACCCTGGGAAGCTGGAAGGGCTGCACCTGCACCAGGACTGGGCAGAAGGTTGAGCTCCACTCAGACCTCGCTGCTTCAACCTCCTTCCTTTGCTTTACCCTTTGGAAACAGGAAGAGATGGAGATTTTCTGAGGGCTGTGTTTGGGATTTCCCCTTGGATTTGCCTGTTTTCCTGCCTGTGTTTGAAGTGGTCAATGATCCTGGAGGGTGACTGCCATAAAAAATCAAAGGTTTTTTCCATTAGGCAGCCAAGAACTGATCCAGCTGTGACATGCTTTAAGTTGGTCATCAAACCCTGATAAATGTTATTGATATAATATCAAATAATAAGCACTGATATATATATATATAAAACTTAAATTATTTTCTTCCACTATGTATTTTCATATTGTTCACTGAAAGTCAAGTTGGTGGATACAGAGAGAAGATTCCTATTAGTTACTTTCTAGTTTTGAGAGGGATCAGTCAAAAAATCTTCTCTTAAATACTTATTTATATAAAATTGCTTTAAATCCATTTTAAAGATACATCTGTGGTGAATTTTAAAGATGCATCGTGGGGTGAAATGCGCTCCAGATTTTTCTTTTAAAGGATGAGGAATTTAAAGTCAGATCCTACACAGAAATATGAAGCAGGTGGGCTCTGGCAAATCAAATTTCCTTGGATTCCAGTGTGCTGTGCATTTGTCAAATACAAAACATTTAGAAGCCCCGTGGTGATATTTTTGAAGATAAACAGTAATTAATTGTGCTGAGAAATTGAACCTTCCATCACCCTTACTGTGTCTTTGTGAGTACTTTACAATGCAGGGTAAATATTATTACTGCAAACATCAGAAATCCTCTGGAATTCCTGAAGATGTCTAATGTATGAGCACAGCATGTGCAGTTTTAAAGAAATACAGGAAACAGTGGTACATGGAGGGTGCAGGGTTTAAATTGAGTTTTGGGAAGATGTATTGATTGGAATCTCTAATCCTGACACTGTAGGAATGGCTTTGGCATGGATTCCATGGATTCCATGGGGTTTGGAAGTACCTGCTGAGGAGCTGGGGCTCCAGGCCGAGGTGTGTGTCTCAAATCCAAACATGACTTGGCTAATGGCAAAAATGGTGACGGTTTGGGTCAAAAATGGATTTATTAAATCACTTGATTTAATTAAATGAGTTGATTTTTACATTCTTCCACCTTCAGAACAAGCAGCTGCTCAACCCTTAAACGGGGGATGAAATATTTTTGTGTACTTTTGCTGTCTTGGCTGATTTGCTCCAGCTCATACAAACCAGTAGGAATTCCTGTGTTTAAGAGAAATCCCACATTTTGAAGCCTCTGAACATCCACTTTGCTGTTGGATTTTGTTCCTTCCTCACAGTGGATTCGAGTGGGAGAGCTCGAGATCACAGCATGGATGTCTGAGATCTCTGGGATCACAACATGGATCTCTGGGATCACAACATGGATCTCTGAGATCTCTGGGATCACAACATGGATCTCTGGGATCACAACATGGATCTCTGGGATCACAACA